TTCACAAATGCTAAATTTTTTTAAAAATTAATGATGTTCAAGACTCTGTGAACAGTTGTTCTTATTCCCAGAATGGAATGTTACGGCCAAATACTTGAATAAAGCAAAGGAAGGTTTTGTATATCGTGCAAATTTTATTAAGAAAAATCAGTGCAGAGCGCTTTCGGCCTTAGGCCAACATCAGTGCCACTTCGTCAGGTGAATATAAAAGAACTTGGGTTAAAAACAACGGTGCACATGGTTACATAAGGTCACAAACTAATCAATAACATGGATTGACTGAACAATTTAAAATTTATCAAAAAACCGACTAGATGTTAGGTTAGAGTCCTAGACACGTTTGCTTTTGAGTTGAATTTATTAATTTCCAAAAAGAAAATTGAAAGGATGGATTCCTCCTTGAGAAAATTTTAAAAATAGTTCATCCCCCGAATATTTTATTTCGGTTTTTTGATAAATTTTAAATTGTTCAGTCAATCCATGTTATTGATTAGTTTGTGACCTTATGTAACCATGTGCACCGTTGTTTTTAACCCAAGTTCTTTTATATTCACCTGACGAAGTGGCACTGATGATGGCCTAAGGCCGAAAGCGCTCTGCACTGATTTTTCTTAATAAAATTTGCACGATATACAAAACCTTCCTTTGCTTAATTACTTAGCGTGCACACAGCATTCAACCCCCTTTTTAAATACTTGAATGTTGTTTACTGATAAGGTAGGTGAGTTATAAACTGTAGAATAAACAAATCCGCAGAGAACTTTTTGCAGTCCCAGCCACAGCACTAGGGTTTTTGGAAAATTAGGGGCTTACGCAATAACATAGAGAACCCCACTAGCACAGTGATGGAGAAATTAGGACACCGATCCAGATGATACCAATCACCACTATACTGGTTCTTTATGACTACCAGAAAAAAAACAATTTAAACCGGAGCGAATTAATAACACGTCCGCACGCATTCAACAGAAACATATGATTCTTAGTCTTACCTGTGGAGATTTCTGGTGTCATAGAAAGAGATGGCAATTTGATAGGCAAAGGCTTCAGTGGAATAACCACAGAGGAAAAGCGTGTTCTAATAGATTCCCCTTCCTTCCAAATGATCAAGGTTACATGATAAAAATGCACGATGCATGACTATACATAAACGTGCACGGAGCATAAATATTTTACGGCAACAACAACTAGTTTTCTTCGACTTTGTCGTTATATTCTATTTAACCTTAGACTTTTTCTAGTCATTTCATTCTATTGCATTGAAATTGGCCCGTAAGATGTTGACTTGCCAATCCTGTAACTATTTTTTAAAATTGTAAAAATATCTTTTCAAAAGAAGATTAGATATATTTAACAAGATGCAAGAATCGATAGAGAAGAGTGAATCAAGAGCTTTGAGAGTGAAAAAAAATTCGATCTATAGAGGGGTAAACCACCTTCAAAAATGTGTTTACCAGAATCCCACCATATCTTACTGGAATTTTACGTAATTCTACTGATATCCCACGCCATTCTACTGGAATTCCGTGGTATCCTACTGGAATACCACGGAATCCAAAGGAATTCGTTGAGGAATTCAATGGAATTTCTTGTGATTTTTTAGAATTATTTTGAACGCTAACAAGCAAAGAATCTAGACTAAAAAGTCTTGTTTTTCAGTTTCGCCGCCACTACATACATAGGTACAAACTAAAAACATCGACTCATAAAGCAAACTAAGATATCCCACTGGAATCTCACTAAAGTTTCACGGAATCCCACTTGGCAGCAATTTACTATTTTAGGTAGGGAATACGATTAAGAACAAAATTGTTCACGGGCACAAAGTTTGGCTATGGCTAGATTCCGAGATATTTGGGGTCGAAGTGACCAATTTTTAAATGTATTTTCACTGTGCTGTATATTTCTTGCCAACCTTCCTACATTCCAAACCAATTATTACGTCCATTTTGACACCCACTTTGACCCCAAATATCTCGGAATCTAGCCATAGCTGGACTTTGTGCCTGTGTACACTTTTGATCCAAATCGCATTCCCTACCTAATCCCCTATTTTAAACCAATTCGACAGAAAGGCCCTTCCCATAAGGTTTATGCGGGGTCCTTTAATGGGAATTTTCAATCATGGATTAAATTCAAAGTTGGTGTCAAATATTGGAACTGAGTTTATGAAAATAAGATCGGTTTTGTTCTTTACAGCCTGTCAAAATTGTAAAAATGTCAATTTCCAGCTGTCAATATTTCCCAAAACAGTTGAACTTAGAGCTGTTTTCTTGCGTCTACTTTTCTGAGACTGGTACAAAACAGGTTTGAAATAGTATATTCTCGCGATGAACCCATGACGTCACACAAAATTGGTACAAACCGTTCGAAATACAATCCAATCCACGTTTTTAAACCATTTTCTGGCGCCGAGAAGTTATGACGTCATTGTGAAACTGTTTTAAAACAGTTTTGAAAAATGTTTCAAAACTTTGAGGCGCGAGAAAACACCTTAGATATTAGCCTATCCAAAAAATTTGACTTTGACAAGCAAAATATGGCCGGCAGAAGGAACAAACTACTATTTACATACGCCATTTAAAGTACACTATTTCTAACATTAATGAAAACAACAGTTTTAAGTATAACAACGCAAATAATTCAAAATTAGCACTATTTAAAACTCATAACACCATTTGATAACATATAAACAAAGGGTTTGTGTGCCTCTTGGCGGAGATTTTAATTTAAGTTTAACAGCATCTTGGATAGTCTAATAGGGTATATCGGTATATCACATGAAATCTGCTCAGAATTTTAAGTAGAATCCGAATATTCAATGATATACCGGGTATTCTATTTAAAATAAAAAAGTTGGACCTCGACCAGCTTTTCTGAAACACCGTGTATATGCGAAAGTGAGTTTTTCAAAAAATTTCATTTCAACCATAAACCATAAAACTTTTATTTGGGTCACTTCTTTCTAAAATGTCAAATAAAAAAGATAGAGGGAGGTGATATTTAAATACAATCAATAACCCTGTACACCTTAGAGCAGGTAAAGCGCTGTCCTACGGACAACAAGAGTAGGAACGCGCCATTCGGCTATGAAACTATAAAAGTGAAGCCAGTTTTTAGCAGGTGTTTGTACACTCAAAATACCTCGAAAAAACTGCTTCATTTTCCAACTCCATGTTCCTACTCTTCCTACCTAGGAAATTACCTGCTTTAAGCTGTACAGGGTGGGCCAATTGGGACACTTTCTTATGGAAACACCCTTTATTTTTAGAGATAAAAAAAAATGAACCCCCCGCTCTGAGGCTCAAATTTCATGAAATTTTGATTTGTGCAAACCGCATTTTGATATCTTAAACCGTTTAGCCGCTAGAGGGCGATTCTCGATTTTGAGCAATAATGTGAAACCATCATAACTTTTTTGTTTATGTAAATTATTGATTTCCGTAAAAACTTTCTTGAAGCACTTTTTCAAGCAGAATTCAGCGAGGCTCTCAGTTTTTTTCTAGTTGGTCCCAACGCTGAGATATTGACCAAAGTCTGGTTTTTTTCAATAGGACAACCTATATATTAATAGCTCATTATAAAGCTCTGCTTTTTCTGATTTCGATGATAAAAAGTTCAATAGGTTTATCTCTAACAGTTTTCGAGAAAAAAAATTATTTAGGTTTTTTTCATAAGAAGCAATGTGTAAGAAAAGGACTTTATATCTGTAAGGAAACTGAGAAAGGTCTCTTTCCAACACATTGTTTCTTATGACAAAAACCGAAATATATTTTTTTCTCGGAAACTGTTAGAGATAAACCTATCGAACTTTATATCATTGAAATCGGAAAAAGCAGAGCTTTCTAATGAGCTATTAATATATAGGGTGTCCTATTGAAAAAAACCAGACTTTGGTCAATATCTCAACGTTGGGACCAACTAGAAAAAAAATGAGAACGTCACTGAATTCTGCTTGAAAAAGTGCTTCAAGAAAGTTTTTACGGAAATCAATAATTTCCATAAACAAAAAAGTTATGATGGTTTCACATTATTGCTCAAAATCGAGAATCGCCCTCTAGCGGCTAAACGGTTGAAGATATCAAAATGCGGTTTACACCAATCAAAATTTCATGAAATTTGAGCCTCAGAGTGGGGGGTTCATTTTTTTCTATCTCTAAAAATAAAAGGTGTTTCCATAAGAAAGTGTCCAAATTGGCCCACCCTGTACATACACTATAATTTCAGGATGGTTTACTCCTGGGTAATTAATTCACACCATTAAAAACCACGAAATGGTTCAATTGTCCTAAGAGTGCTTAATTTTTGCTCTTTATATTAAAATATTAATAGAAAGGAAAGAGGCACAATTAACAATGAAAATAGGCCCCTTAAATTTCAACCAAATTTCAATATTTTAAAGGTATTATCATTGCAAAAAAAAAAATGGAATGTAAAGAGGATCTTATGTCTGTGATAGCAGATATATCACACCTCGTACCACACATAGGTCCTGCTATGCTATGCATGGAAAATATCCCTACATAGATTTTCTTGAATATCCCGAAAAATGCTAATTCGATTTCGACGTTTTTGGGGTCCTTTTGTAGGTATCAAACTACGAAAATGTCAAAATCGGATTCTAGTATTTACCGAGATATTCAAGAAAATCTACGTAGGGATATTTCCTCGGATATTTCCTATGCATTGCATAGCAGGACCTACGTACTTTAATAAGCTATATCTGATATCACAGACATATGATCCTCTTTACATTTAACTTTTTTTTTTGCAATGGTGATACCTTTAAAATATTGAAATTTACGGGGGCCTATTTTCAATGTTAATTGTGCTTCTTTTCTTTCCGAAATTATATGTATTTCAACAAAATTTTTTGCAATTTTTCACCACTTGTCAATCAAGATACAGAATAAATGAAAAATTACACATCAAAAATACACCACACCCACCATCAAAATAAGATTTAAGCTAAAAAAAAATCATGAATATTTTTGTTATAGGATTGACCCTGACGATGAAGATGACGACCTGAAAGAGTTCGAAGCCCTCCAAAAAAAACAACAAAACCGAGAGAAATTGTCAATTATCGAGAAAGGAAAGCTTTTCGTTGAGGAACTTGTGCAAAAAGTCGGCTTTTTCGGCATTCTCGCCTGCGCAAGTGTAAGATTTCACCCATTATTTGAATTACACAAAAACTAATTTACCACGTTTCAGATTCCCAATCCTCTATTTGATCTCGCCGGTATTACTTGCGGTCATTTCCTGGTGCCCTTTTGGACATTTTTCGGAGCTACCCTCATTGGAAAGGCCATAATCAAGATGCACATACAAAAACTATTTGTTATAATTGCTTTTAATGAAACTCTTATTGAAACAGCCATTAATTATATTGTACTAGTGCCAGTTATTGGAGAAAAGTTACAGGTAAATGTGTATATTATCATTTCCTACATTTTAAACAATAAATGTATTTGTTTCAGGTTCCATTTAAAGCATTTTTGGACGGTCAAAAAGATAAGCTACATAAAAAAGCAAACAAAAACCTAAAAGAAGCCTCTGGCAATATCTTAGCTTCGATTTTTGAAAAATTCGTGATAGCGATGATTATCTATTTTGTGATATCCATAGTCAACTCGTTTGCTCAGAGTTATCACAAGAGGATACACAAGAAAAAGTCTAGCAAAGCTCGAGACTGATTATAGGTAAATGTTTACCAAAATAAAGACATTCGGTAGTAGTTAAGATATACGGCGCTTCTGTTTTTATGCTGAACAACTTGCGAGTTTGTTTTTTTTTGTGATAATTGAAGTAAAATTGATTGTTCGGTGTAAATGATAGAGAATTGTAAAAATTTTTAGATAATTGTGTACAAAATACACAACAACAAAATGTTCCCTGGACCTAAAATTGTGTTTCTTGTGCGAGTTTGGCATTTTTTAAGTTAGTTTTTGGGGTACTTTATGCAAGAATTCACTTTATATTAAGCAACCTTTTTTCCTTATAAAAAAAACCTATTATTTTTTTTTTTGTAATTTTTTTTATTACAAAAATCATTCCTATTAATTATTTACACATATAAAAAAAACAACAAAAGTCATAGGATTTAGTGTTTTTTTCTTGTTCTATTTCAATTAAGCTACCTACTCCTAAAATAGGTAAATATTTATTCGTTACATATAGAGTGTGAGTGTGTTTATTGTGAAAAGATTGTGATCAATTTTGAGTTTTTTTTTATATCATTATTATTTATGTGATAATTCCCAAGTAAAATGGTCCTGGATTTGTGGATAAAAATTAAACCACATTGTTCCAATTATGTCGAGAAGTATTGTCCAGCATATTCTAGCCTAGTATTGTGCCAAAATATGTTTTTCTCAAATAATTTCAGTTTTAGCAGTTTATTAGTCACAATGCAGTTTATATGTGGTTTAAAGTCAAATAAGAACACAAACAGGATCCGAGTTGATAAAAAAAAAATATTTAAAAATAAAGTATATGATATTAATTTGATGTTTTATTTTACAATCTTGAATAATAACAATTATCAGATTGCTGTTCATTAATGTTATGTTAATGCAATCCACCTGACGCCATTGTATTATGTAATTTTCTTTCCATGCAGACGAAATTCCGTCGGAAGAAGGCAGAAATCTAGAAACTTTTTTTGTTTCCTTTCAAAATTTGTAATGAATTTCCATCAAGTATCGGCTAAATCGATCTCTTTTATTATCAACTTAAATAATGAAACTTGATCTATAAGAGCAATTTAAAATCAAGGTCTGTTCCAAAAACCGTCCCAAAATACGATTTCGGAGCTATTCTGTGTACGAATTTTTTGGTATTGCACAAAATCTTGACGGTTCATTGTACAGTTTTTTCTGCTTTGTTGCAACAAAGCTAATTCGGCACTGTAGCTAGCTATAGAAACAGGGGATTTACATTTACACTTGCCGTCGGAATACTACTCTATTACGCAGTTAGTTTTTTTGCCTATCTTACTTATTCATATTTATTACCTTATTTGTTTACCTTTTTTTTTGGGCGTTTTTGTCGGACAATGGATTTAGATTTATAGTCAGATTTAGTCGAGTACGGATCGCCGGAGATGAAGCACCGCCATCAGTCGACTTTTTTTTCACACAAATTAAAATTTTCCGATTATTGTGTCGCGTGCCCATAGTGTACCAATTGATTTCTGGATTTTGGTAAGTACCTAGTACCAACAATTATTTTTTGATAATTGGGATTTATTGAATTTTGAATAAACAATCCTTCATTTTTCTAATGTCTGAGTCTGGAACAGTCCAGCACTTTTTTATTAATGTTTTTTTTTTAATTTAAATTTGATTCTCTATAACTGGGAGTAAATTATACAGGGTGTCCAAAAATTAATTTTCCAGAAAATCTTTCGCGCCTATATTTTCATCATTAATTTTTTTTTTATTTAACTTTCCAAAAGTGCGTTAATGAAGAAAGTATATATGAGCTTGTGTGAAAGATGAATGATCCAGAGATGTAGACTGTTATGAGATAGAATGCTGGGTTCTGGATATGTAGATACTGTTGGAATAGAATGCTGTATGCAGGATGTAGGTATTGTTGTAAAAGAATGCTGGAGTGTCTCAAAAAAATATTGATTTTGCCCAGTTTTCAATTGAATGGCTGTTTAAGCCACTTTACTACCACTAGCAATAACCTAACTAACCCAACACAACTAACCCGTATTAACACCTTGAGGTAATTGCTAATTGGTATAGTCCACTAAATATTTTCAGCTAAAATGATACAAACATCTAGACAATAATACTCTATAGCTGATTGCTATAAAAATAGTATATAGCTATCCAGTTATATAGCTATATTTTTCAAAAGGGAATTTGAGAGTTTTCAATTTTTTTGAGATACTCCCTGCGTTTTTATTCTCATCAAATTTTACCGATGGATCCACCATTCTATGTCCGTCATTGTCATTTTTCATCCACTAAACAAAGATAGCTAACTCATCGGTGAAGTCACCGATGAGAATAAAAACGAGGGGACTCATGGAGGTGTTGGGTGCACTTTTGGAAAACCAGTCATTAAAACGTACATTGCATGTCGCGTCGGGCAAAACTGCCCGACAGTTATGTTTCCATTTGGGCCATGTCGGACATACAGGGTGACAATTTGACACTTAGACAAAAAATCCTATGAAGAAGATCTCATTTATTTATTGATTTATTAAGAAATTGCTATTTTATTACATACATTACAGGAAAATGTTCTTATATGTTCATGTAAGTAGTTGCCTTTTTGGCTGAGCAACTACCATTAATGGTGGAAGGAATTTTTATTACTTACAGAAAAAATTAATCTTAGATATAGTTACAATGGGGTTATTTACAATATTTACAGTATCGAAATAGGCCTAAAGCCTTTCTTTACAGTTATGGGGTTTTATTTACATAATACATATCTGATGCATAATAAGTATATGTAAGTATATATAAAAAAAATGATAATTGTTTTGCACTAAGTAGTTTTGGCCACTCGAATAATGATCATTCTCAAAAGGTTTTTCATCACATTTTCGTAACAATCTGAAATTGGTGTTTTGTGCATTTCAGCAAGTAAAGGGTCCCATTCATGTTGAGATCGGTATCAAGTATCAGTATCTTGATACAAATCTCATTGTGTATTTGTCTGTCTCAGTAACGGTATTAGATGGTATCGCCGGCATCAGTAACTTCAATACCGAACGCATGCAACGTGTATGTTGAAGTTAAATATGTAAAAGTATAAACAGTGTTATTTCCAACAGGAGTTTTGAATTTATATAAATAATACCTATGTTGATTGAACTGAACTTATGACTGAACTAATGTTTCCTGAGCTCATCTCAACGTGTAGAAGCAGTTGAAACATGGATACAAATCTCAGATACATGTTGCGAAACATGTATCGATACTGATATCAACGTGAATGGGGCCCTTTGATAGAAAAATTAATTTATCTCAAGCTACTTTCTAGTTAAACATAATGTTTGATATTAGACTTTAAACATTTGGCTGTAGATGTTTCCAATAACAATTCAAGATGCGTTTCACTGATTATCCAGGGCAACAAATTAACATTTGATTATTTCTTTTTGTTAATTGGTGTCCCCTGGGGAGGCCGTCCACCATAATAGGTTAGGATCCCATTTGTTGCACGATTACACTATACATGGTAAGTGTAACAGTGGGGCACTACCGAATACCGGCGAGAAATTGTTGAATTATAATTTGCTGTTGGGTGTCAGCACACAACGTGGTTTCAAGTGAATATTCAGCCTAATGGGGCTTTAATAGAATAACTGAATGCTCTTCAACCTTGACAGGCAAAATTTGGCCCTATTTCGAATAATTTATAATTGTTCAATTTTATAACTTGGTAGATTAAACAAAATTGTTGAACAAAATTCTGGATGTGGAGCAGCAATGCCTTGTACCAAGTGACAATGAATGGTCCACCCTTGACAAAAAACCAAGTGAAAATTTTCTCATGACGTACTCAGAAAGGTCAAATATGAATCCAAAATTACCCCCAAGTATTTAATTTCTTTTACAAATTCCAATTTCTTAGCAGTCATACTAATATAGTCACATTATCCATATTGATATTATTCATTCTTAATTTCTTTTCAAATACACAAAATTTTGATTTATCGACATTAATGCAATGTTATTATCACAGAGCCAGATGTATAACTTATTATAATTCACCATTCATAACCTGTTGCATTTGGTACAAATTTTTGCCAACAATATAGAGCATTGTATCGTCTGCAAATAGCAAATAATACCATTTTACTTTCATTTACCACAATTAATATACAGTAAAAACCACAGTGGACCCAGAACAGTTCCCTGTGGTACCCCATATGTTACAGGCCTTTTTCCAGATATATGCTATTTTTAAATTTAACAGACTGAACTCTATTAGATAAATATATGATGTAAACCAATGATTCAAAACAGTACTTACTTCCTATTCCTATATTCTTTAATTTATGCAGCAATATTTCTCTATTTACAGTTTCAAAAGCTCACTTAAAATCTAAGAAAATGGCCAACACAATACATTATCACAATCCTTTGAAAAATCGTCAGTTATGTATTATGTAGAGTATTACTTTAGAAAACATCATTATTTTAAAAAAGTCATAACTCCATTAATAATAACTCAATCGCTTTGAGTTTTTAGTATTTTTTACATTAAGCCTTCAGGAAAAAGTCCTCAAAATTTCAACTCTCCACTCACTTCAGTTTTTGAGGGAAAAAATTGTTTGTGTATTACTTTACAAAACATCATTATTTAAAAAAAATCATAACTCCATTATTAATAACTCAATCGCTTTGAGTTTTTAGTATTTTTTACATTGAATCTTTAGGAAAAAGTCCTCAAAATTTCAACTCTTCACTCACTTTAGTTTTTGAGTGAAAAAAATTGTTTGTAAAGTCTTACTTTACAAAACATTATTATTTTAAAAAAATCATAACTCCATTAATAATAACTTAATTGCTTTGAGTTTTTAACATTTTTTACATTGAATCTTTAGGAAAAAGTCCTCAAAATTTTAACGTTCCACTCACTTTAGTTTTTGAGTGAAAAAATTGTTTGTAAAATTTTATTTTAAAAAACATCATTATTTAAAAAAAAAATCACAACTCCATTAATAATAACTCAATCGCTTTAAGTTTTTAGTATTTTTTACATATTTTTTACATATGATTTTCCCGTCATCCATTATATATATACTAGCTGACCCGGCGAACTTCGTACCGCCTCTGGATTATTAAATATATATTCAGTTTTTTTCGATGGTGAATTTGGCTTTGGTTGAAGAACATCAATGTTTAAGGCGGTTACACACGGACGTGGATGTCTGAAAACATGTACGCACATACATGAACGCTCAAACAAAAACATCAATGTGTATGCAAAATACCGTCGCGTTTTTGAATGTGCAATTTTGTATGCACACTGCTGTTGGGTGTTGGTACAATGTAATTTCAATATTGGATCAAGCCCAAAGGGACACGGAATAGCTGAATGCTCTCTTGGATAATTCTGATTTGTGTGTTGCAGATGAAAACAATATCAACATCAATAATGCATCAGTTTCTTGGACATAAGTTGTTTCCAGATTATTAACAGCTGAATAATTTTTTTTGCTTTGTATGTTTCAGATGAAGACAACATCATCAACAATGCAGCTTCCTGAACATAAGTTGTTGAACATTGAATACATTTAAAAAAAAAAGATTCCCTTTCCATGTTCCTAAACTACGTTTTTTTTTTTATTTTCATGTGTTTTAGAATGCCCACTGGACACCGTTGGATATTTTAGGGTAGGATGCCCTGGACACCGTTGGATATTTTATTTTTTTCAGTTTGTTGGATATTGGAAGCTGAATAAATAGATAATTTCAAACATAAAACATTTACATTTTCACTAACATAGAGTTGTTTTTTTCCAGGCAT